CCCCCAAAACCCCAAAACCCCAAAACCCCAGTTGGAGAGAGGAAGGGAGGTTAGTAATAATTATAATTTCTGAAAATATGGAGAATGTGCTTAACTTAACAAGCAGGGCTAAGAGTAAGCACAAGAGTTATTTTCTAGGCAAAAGAATACAGGGAGTGCTGGACAGAAGCAAGAGGTTACAGAGAATGATGACTAAGACTACAGAGGGGGATACCGAGGAAAAGAGGAAACAAAGGTAGAGGGAATTGGGGCTAAAGGATTTTCAATTATTATGTGAATTTGGACGAAAATATTGAGATTTTTTAGAAACCGATTTTTAAGTCCTCAGCCAGAACTCTTAAGTAAGTCAAGATGATCCAGCATACTTTAGAACTTGGAAAATCTTAATGTTGCTATAATAGTAAAAAATATTTCTCATTATCTCATTAAAGTATCCAAAATATTGTAATTGTCATATCAAACTATCAACTTAATGACAAAACTCCATAATTCTACTTAATGAAATAAAATAGCTCGATAATACTCTAAACCTAAATTACTAAACCCCAGCTATCTCTCTCAAAAATTTTCTACCACATCTAAAGATCTTCAAGAACGATACCAGATCTCTCACCAACCTTCTACCCCTTAACCCCACCCCCAAAACCCCTACAAAGAATCTAATAATCCCAAAATCCCCAACCCATCCAGTCCTACTCCTACTCTAAATTTCCCCAAAATTCCTTCAAAAAAATACCAAAATTTACCCTACCCCACCTCTAAACCTCTAAAATTCCTCCACTCCCAACTCTTCCCTTAAAACCCCCCAAATCTCCAGTACAAAATTTCTTAAAAAAACAGTAAAAGTTCAGCCAAGTCATTAATTTTGACTAAATTTTTCTACTTGAAGTCCAAACCAGCAGTTTAGATATTTTTGTTGTGGTTTTAGAAGTCCTGATCTGGTGTGATGGGAGAGGACTTGGGATGAGAGAGGGTGGATGGGCTGGGGGTTGGGGGGTTAGGAAATTAGAGGAGGGGTAGTATTTAGGAGGGGTTAAGAAGTTTAGGGGGAATTAGTTGGGGGAGTTTTGGGTATACGGGTGGGGACTTGAGATAGGAGGTTTATTAAGGGTCTGAAGGTTAGGAATTATGGGGTTTGTTAGTGTAGAGGTTTTTGTTATAGTGGTTTATCAAAAAAATTGTTGTTTTAACGAAGTTTTTGCTTTAGGTTGATTGAGGCCTTGTGGGGATGAGGTATGTACAGAGAAGAAAGCTAAAAATAAATCAAGAAGATCCAAGAAACATACATTAGTCAAATCTCCAGTTTCTTTAGTTTCCCCAATGCAAGCTTTGGTGAAACCTAATCAAACTATTGATACTAACTCAATAGATTTGTTAAATTTAAAGCAACAGAGCAAAATTATCACCGCTTCTCCACGTGGTAAGCTTCTTCCGCCCTCCACACCACCCCAAAACCCCAAAAGTCACTTCTCCCACCTAAAATTTCTACTAAATCCTCCTATTTCCCAGTTAAAAATCCGAGAATTCTAATTTTCCACCTAAAATCCTAAATTTGGCAAATCCAGAGTTTTCATGAAGAAAATTTTAGGATTTTAAGCTGTGGTTTCAGAATTACAGTGGGGTTGTACGCAGAAATAAGTTTTGAATAGAGGAACGGAAAGAAGTTGAGACGATATTAAGGGTTAGAGGAGGGTTCGATTCACCCTTTCAGCCACTAGCAAGGTAAGTTTACGCAAAATTTGAAGGGCAGAGGGGTTGAGGTTAGTTTGGGACGTATCTTTGGAGGAAAATTAATGGTCATAGGTTCAATAGGCAAATTACATTTGAAGAAAAAGGTAATTAGTGACTTATGGCTGTTAGACTCTCAAACTATAAAGAATAGTAGAGTTGCAATTTGGAGCGAGATTAGTAAATTTATTAAGAAATAAAGAATACGACGGACCTCTTCTTTCTATAATTCATAAACAAAGATGTAAGAAGGAGATACTAGAATTCTTGAAGAAGTATCATGGAATCAGAAGGATTGCACTATCAAGTTTTGAAAAATTTATAGAATATTTCATAACCAAGTTTGCAGACTCAACACCAGATCTCAATTGTAAGCCTATTATCTTACGCCTCTTTAGCTGAAGATATTAGTCGCAGAATTGTTGCCCAAAATAAGTTAAAAGATTACAAAAGTGTCCTAAAAGATAAAGATTTTTACTTCTTCTTGATCAGCAAATTCAAACTCTATCTTAGGAACAGACGTAAAAAGAGGTAAATATCATCAACACAACTTTAGGAAAAATATTATCCCCTCACGAATGCATCAGAATAAATCAAGCATTAGCACTTTAAGAATATCGCATCAAAGTTTATCCAAAAATTCCTATTCAAGCTCTGGCCAGATGTCTAACAGTAAGCTATGACTTTAACTCCAAAGGCTGAGGAAGAGATATGAGACAATCAATTTTTAGTCCTAAAAAGCCAGCAACAAGGCAGATAGGTAGCTTCTTTAAGCCTAAAACAAATACTCTGAAATGTATCTTATCCAGATCATCAGTTGGGAGTTCCAAAAGGCGAAGCAAGCCTAAACATTTATTCCCGAGTATCTTAAGTATGGCCTTTTGAAATATTTCTAATATTATATAGTCAAAAAGTCTGAGCAAGACAAACGAAAGACTAATAGTATCACTTCTGATATGTAAGCTAATATTGTGGCAGAAACTTGCCGAATCTGTACTAGCCTTCAGCAGTTGATTAAATCTCAGATTTACAGAGATTCTGAGGGAAAGACTAGTTTGATAGAAATATTCTACATTTTAGAAAAGGATACCCTCCCTGAAGGAGATTAAAAATGTTAATTAAATTTAGTTGACTTCACTCGGCTAGTTAGTTATGAAATCTGCTAACTTTAATGCTAAATTAGTATTTTATAGTGAAAATGATATCAAAAAACAGCCTTATCAGAGCTTGATTCCAGATATGAGGGATACTTTGATTCCTGAGAATATTACAAAGGAAAGTGATGAATCTCAAAAAGCTGACAAAAGGGACTCTCCTTTTAAGCCACAAAAATAGAAATCCTTTCTGAAGACAGAAGCACAAAAATGTCTCTAAACGAAGTAAATTTTCAGTGCAAAAAGCTTCAAAGGTAAAGAAGTTAGACAAATATTGCAGGCAAGTTCTCATGGATAATTCATAGAGGTTTCAAGAAGATCAAGATGAAAATGGGCGAGAAGAAAGTTTTTCAAAACAACCTCCGAGTAGTTCTTGAAGATGGCACCCAGGCTAAGAAAAGAGACACCCGAAATTTTCATATTGTTAGTCACAAATGTTCAAGACTTAACGAAACTGAGATAAGATCCTTTACTAGAAAGAACCAGCTTGAAATGAAGAGTCATAGACCACGGAGGACAGAGATGAGGTATTTTTCTAACTATTTAAATAGTCCTCTCACTCCTGATCAAAATATTAAGTCCTTAAAGCTAATTTATGAGAACTCTAACGTTAAATCACTTGGACCAAGGTAAAGTAACCTCATATATACTTTTAGCCCTCTCAGAAAAAGCAATCACAGCAAGAAATGTGAATCAGAGGCGAGCAAGAAGGAATCCTTTTCGGTAAAATCAAGCTTCATGATTCCAAAGAAAAAGCTGAACTCCAAACCCAAATGGTATATCCACCCTCTTCACCACATATAGTTCCAAATTCAGAGCTCTAAAGATCAATAGGAAAAGGACGACTGCGCATTTCTAGAGTCCTAGGTCCCTGAAGTCCTTCTAAAATATTCCATTTCTATAAATTCAATAAAGTTGATCAATACTGGGGTTTTGGGGTTTTGGGGTTTTGGGGTTTTGGGGTTTTGGGGTTTTGGGG